GCAGGATATGATGACATCACTTCTTAGTGGGGGATTAGGGAATCTACTAAAATTGACAAAATAAACAACATCCCAAATAGGAGGAACAAGTCTAAGAAATCAAACGAAAACAGTCTACGGTTATTGTATATAATCATTGAAGGGGAGAGAGAGCATGACAAACCTAAGGTTTGGTTTGAGCTCTAACATTTCGATTGAGTATTGCATACAAACAGCTTACATGCATCCAGAAACGTAAAAAAATCTTCCAAACTGCAGGATTGTATGCTAGTTTATTCAAGTTAAGAAATAGCACTTTAAACAAAGATAAAGATACTGAAAGGCAAGAAGATTAACCACATTTTATTTTTGGGATAATGTACTTCGCATAGTGTTATTACAAAGTGTCGAATTCTTTTTTTACCCTATTTGTCAGAGAATGATTGTGTAAAATTATCCAATGATTCACGAATTATTATAAAATTACACAATTTAATTATAACTACAACAAGACCTAGTCCTTCACAATCAGAGGCTCTTAATTCGGAGGATTTCCTGAATCTACCATAAATGACAGATAAATTATATGATATTGTGTTTTTCGTCAATAAAAATAAATCGTGGTAATAAACAATAATTTTACTATTAGAATCATACCAAAATGTCAGCAAACTCATGAATATTGCAAGCACACAACGTACATACATCCATACGTCTACCATAAGCTCCAATATCGCAGGATCTTACTCTAGTTTATTTTTGTAAGGAAATGGCTGCGATCACATTCGCTCCTTTTTCATGCATCTATTTATCTCATCTGCGAGTATAGAATAGCCAACCAAAGTGATTTCTGATGCTGGGAATTATGACAACTACTTTGGCAGACGACTTCTGACTAATTACTTTCTAATAAGTCACCCTGACAACAAGACCTAGTTGCGACAACGAGGTCAACCCTGTTCAAAAAATTAAGTTGTTTATGTTTCTTAGTCTAATAACGAATTTAGAAATTCAGCCCGTACAAATGCAATGGTATTTATCGGAATCTCTTAAAAATCTCAGTAAACCTTTGGGATCACGACTTCTTTTCTTTGCCTTATTGATTATAAGATGATTAATTAATTTTCCTACGATTAATATTTATTTTACGTTTACTTTACTTTTACAGCTAATGGTCTTCTCAAATATATGCTCTAATAGCCTTACAGTTTATTTTATGTTATCCATAGATCACAGAGGATTTAACAAAGCGCTTCGATTGACGCCGGTCCTTGAAAAAATAATACGCCTTTTGCTTTATTTGCTTCTTCAATGAGTGACAGTGCTCATGGAATTTTGGTATGAAAGAAGAACCGAGAAATTTGAAAGATTTTTAAAGAGATTCAAATAGGTTGTACAAGAACTGCAATAAATTTTTGACCTCTCATTGCATGTTTAGGATGCCGTCTTTGCGTTGGATGGTTAGATTTCCCTTACTCGGATAGATACAACTGAATGTATGCAAGAAAGTTCACTCGCTAAGAAACATCGGGATGGCCTCATAAAAATGCCTTGCAAGTTATTACAGGATTTCTGCTACCTTTGGTGCATAATTTATCCCAACATATCGATATTCCTTCACATTATTTTTTATGGCAAATTGAAGTGTATGAAGCAATTCCGATTTCTCATTATTTTTTTGTATGGCGGATCAATTAAATGAAACAAGTGAATAGTTAAGGCCATGATATATAATATTCTAAAAAGGCTGAAGAAGTGTGAAGCAAATTAGGCCTATTTCTCGAAATAGTTTAGGATATTATTAGATTTTATATGTTATGTTCATAAAGAATTCTTTTGGAAGCCAACTAGTAAAGATGTTCAAATACGGCTCTTCGAGAAACTTTCACAACTATTATTAGATTAAATAAATTATTTTGAAAGAGATGTAAGCGTTTATATTTTGTGCATATGGCAAAATTTATACAAGCTAAGTATACTACACTTTATAACTTATTATATTGAGGTTTCGTGGTATGGCCTTAGAAAATAGGACTTGGCCTTAAAAGTAGCACTTAGTCTACCATTGCGCTAAGCTGAAACTGTTTTCAATTGGATTCAAAACCGAACCATGTAAATCAACTAACCGAAACCCAGCACACTTTCGCAGTCCTCAAATCTCAATAATTAAGGCGTATATGCACAGTTTAGGTTGGGCCAGGAGTTATTCAACCTGAACTTATTGCCAGTATGACGTTTTTGCTCAAGCGAAGATACCAATATTTAAAATCGAGCGTAAATATACATAGCAGCAATAGCTGAGATTATCAGTCAACGGTGTAAATTGGAGTGAAGTTGGACTATAAGTAATTCTTTACATTTATTTGAGAAAAAAATCAAACATCAAGTCAATCATTAGGGAGACTAAATGTAAATCTAACTAGAAGATTAAATTATAAATAGCTTTATTATGCTCGTAGCGTGATAACTCTTTCGTCAATTAGTAATAATATTTATGCATCTGGAAAGATAAGTATTTGAATTTCATCAATATCGTACTCATAATAGGCAAAAAAATAACTTTGAAAGCAAAGGCGTATATTCTTCTGTGTAAGAAGTTAAAAAGTAATTTCACATAAGAGGGGAAGATATTAATCTAGAAATAGAACTTTTAAGAAGTATCAGCATTTTCGTGATTATGGAAACATTACAGCAATACCTAACTCACTTCACATTCCATAAGTCATATAGATTAAATATAGGTAAATTATGCATGCCTTCTTTAGCAGAAATCTATTAATTCATGGTCATTTACATATGCCTTTGTAACTATAAGTTATATTTTTATCCCCTCATTGATAACGAAAATGAATTTCCTGCAAAATAAGATAGGTTTCAAGGAATCTCTTGATTTACCTTTGTCGAGCTCACCACCAGGCTGTCGGTTGGGCTTAACGAAGCATTCTGGTTTGCGTTGTACCAACTCATTCTCGTTCGATTCCTGGGCAAACTTGTCATCATATAAAAAACATCATTAAGACAGGGTATCATTGCTGCAGTCATATTCAAACTAAGAATCAACAATTCCCACTGCCCTATCTACGAATGCTGCTTATATATACTCTCAACCTATGTACTTTTAAGAGGTATCAAGTAATTTGGTTATTTAATTCACATATAAAACTAAAAGCATGAGCATGGGTGTGTTTTTGTGTGCTTATATGCCTTCCTGTTTACGTTCTTGCATGAAACGATCAGTGAGAGCCTGAAGTCATTAGAACAGAACACAACACCTGTCCCCAGTTATCATGTTTTAACAACCACCATCTGCCCTCTGTATTGTATTTTACCCACCACTTCACCATGACAAGAAAAGAGCAATTGGGTTGCCTCCTTCCGGTTGGCTCAACACTCCCTCCATCCTTGAGTCTAGGCATAAAGTATCAGGCCCTGACACTTAACGTATTGCTTAATTTATCGATTTAGATGGCCTCAAGTTTATTTGTTGATGAACTATTTCAAAATCGAACCCAAATTTAGTACTGGAGCTAATATAAAAAAATAAATTAATTTTGTTTCATACTTTGCAACAGTAATGCAAATTTCAATTACTCGTAAAGCTTTAGAGGGAAAATTTCTAATTACCGTAAAGTATGAATACTGGGTAGCAAATATTTTTTGTTGTTGAAAAATAATAAAGGTACTTAAAAATTTCTACCGTAAGTTTTCAAATATTTGTGTAATTGCGCTCATTGTATTATTCCAATTGGATTTCACGATAAATGGTAATTTTATTTGGGTGAAAGAGATTTTACCTGATTAATTTATGAGAATTTGTTAATAGCAAGCGTAGTCTTATGAATGATGTTGCTAGCAGCAGGAGTGCACAAGGACGGCACTAGGGCTTGCTGGAAATGCAATGAATATTCACTGTAGGAAATCTGCAATTATCGTGACCTTATTTACAGTTCTCTCAAATAAAACCGAAGCCTTCAGGAAGAAGTGATGAATTGCTGCAAAATTTGATAGTATTTTCTTCACTATTGATAATATAAATTCTTCTTGTGAACAAGCACATATAGGGCAATAATTATCAGATAAGTATAAATATAATTTCAGATTAAATGACTTTTAAGGGAGGGTCATTATTAGCTAAAAACTCTTGTTAAGACAGTAAAGTTAGAGTAAGTTGGAAACTGGTCCAGCGTGAATTAGTTTACCCTATTGAGATGCATGGTTAAAAGAATTGAAGATTGAAGACATGATTTTTTAATGATTTTGCAAAAGTATGAGAAAAATGTGTTAATAAAACACTATATGATGAATTTTATGTTTTGTAAGCTATTATTATATCTATATAGCTAATGCCAGAGGCAACCAATGAAACGGCATTACAACTTTTTACCCTTTTCGAATTTGAGGCTGTAATAAGGATTTAATTAGTTAAAAACCTTATATCATAATATGGAAACACTAATAACAAAGACAATTTAAGATCATAATATCGGTTCTTTGACAAAAACTGTTAAGCCAAGGCGAAATAACAATCAGAAGCATTGTGAATTTTAGCACAACCGAAAAGATGAATATAACGACATCATCAATCGTGACTACAGCTTCCAATACAAAGAAACATTTCGGTAATGCCAATCGTCAAAATTTAATAGCGTCTAACATAACATTGTAGAGAAAGCGGTCGATCAAAAGAACTGCATTTTATACAAATAATTTGTACATAGCTATAAATATTTCCTATCATCAGTAATCAGTCTAGTAAACCACACATGTTAGAAATTCGAAGTGTGCTATAGAGGCAAATCGATTTGATAATTGCCCAGTAGATACAAAGTAGTCCGATTTAAAGCTCCTTTGAATTTTCCATTCCGCTACGTCGAGTTGGAAGGTCAAGACTCAAACACGATTTTGAGTTTTCGAAACCTAAGACTGAATTAGAATTTGGCAATTCAAATGGCAGGATAAAATATGAGATAGGCTTTTATCCGGTCGTATTGAAGCCCGGTTTGGGAATATTGAAGAATGTGCTAGTCTAGAGTAAGCCTAGGGTAAGCCATACTTCCGGCCACGAACACGACTCCCGAGCTGGAGAACACTGAAGCTGGTTGCACCTGGTGTTTACGCATTTTATCAGATGTAGACATCATCGAGTCGCTTCTTCGAAGCAAAAGGTCGGTTTGATTTTTATCAGATAAATTTGCTTCATTATAAAGATGTGACGAGCAAGTGGGAATTGGGGCAATTGTCGTAACAGTTTCGTAGTTGCTTTGGTACGAGTTCTGATTCGGAAGTGAGAGAGACTCTATTATATAAACGTTTGACTGGGAACTATTATCTCTATTGTCCATACTTTTTACAGTTCTCGTCATAATTTTCCAAAATGGCCTCATGTCAGGTTCAGAATCTAATTTAAGAGGCACATCAGCATGTAAGGATAGCTCTTTTGTTGCTCTCTCTGAACTTTTTATTTCGAATTTGCTCTTACCGTGAGAACAGGTACTAAGGACATTGGAAAATGATTTTAATGGGCTATGATTTGTTGCTGAAAGAACTGCCTCAGGGCCATGTTTTTCAATTTTCCTAATGGGATCTACCTGTTGTATCCCATATGAGCACCTTCTTTTGATCAACTTATTCTTTCTGCTCAACCGAGCGGCATAGATCGGCTTAATATGTGAAAATAAGGAGTGACAGGTTTGTCGCGGATTTATGGATGCGGAAAACCGTATGGAGGGGGAAGAATATGAAGAAATTGAAGAAGTTGGTGAAGAAGATGAGGCTAAGGCAAAAGTGAAGAAGGAGGAGGCCGAGCAAATTGAGGACAGATTGGACCACATTTCGCCTGTCTGCTCTGGAGAAGGCTGATGGTGCTGACAGTAGGTTTGGGACCATGATGGGTCATACCAGTTAGACTCAGTCTTGTGGATTTGGGTGTTACTATGTCCACTTTTTCTGACCATGAGTAACAGCTCATCAGCTAGTTTAGATTTAGCTGCGGATCTGCGTTCAAGGCTCATTGCCCGAGGGACCGGCGATTCTTGTAGTTGGGGCCCAATCTGCAAATGCCCACTCTTCCTGCGCAAGATCAGCGGCAGCCTGCAACAGTTCAGCATCAAGCACGATTTTTCGGAAGATTCAAAGTTGATTTCTGGATTTTGGATGGTTCTGTTGATCGATTTTCTATTGGCAAAGCAGGGTCTGCAACATTCTTTTATTTCAAGTGCACTGTTTATCTCTTGCAAATGAACTTTTATTTCCTGTCTTATTGGAATATCATCTTCAGCAGACTGGTAATCATATTCATTGACTGTAAAATCGTTACTTAACGTGAAGGAAGTTTTAACTGAAGTCTGGTTTTTGTTATTTCCTTCTTCCTTGTTGGTATGACGAAAGGTAAATGTGGATCTTTTGCAGAGTAAAATTGATTTCAGCCTAGCTTTAATGCTGGCCATATTCTTCGTAAATCCAACATGTGGGATGTTGGGAGCAATAGCGTGCCTTTTTTCTATTTTCGTCCCATTGGCACTGAGTGGAAGTGTTAAGATTCTTCGGAAAGGCTTACACTTTTTGAGGGCTGTATTTAGCTCTAACTGCAAGCAATTTTGTATACATGAACTGGTGTTATGAGAACTTATACGTTGATGATTGTAGAATAAAGTTATGCGGTTATTGTTCTGGAAATCAATATTGCCCGATGATCCAGGCTCAATTAGCCTAGGTCGATTCCTATGAAAACAGCAGACAGCTTCAACAAGACGCTGTCTGAAGGACTTCATGATGAGACAATAGACAAGTGGATTTGCACAAGAGTTCAATCCTACTAAGAAGACGCCAATCGTCTGCTCAAAGGTGTTGAACGAGTACGAGATCACATCTAAGCTTCCAAGTAGGTAGTAGATGCTGTCATATGAGAAGGTAATAACAAATATGACTGTAATCACGACGGCCGATTTGGTGAGCTCTGTGGCGGCTCGCTGCTGGCACTTGGCAGTAGATGCTGCTGCTTCAGATCCACGCGAAAGGTGACAAATAACGCGACCATAGAGACAGAAGACAGTGAGCACAGGAATAAGGTAGACAATGAAAAACCAGGCAATACCATAAACATTGAAGAAAGCGATATAATCGACTTGGCTCTCACAGGCTTTCTCAACTGGATTATAGTTCATTTGAAAGATATCCACAGAGTTGACGACGGCTGACGTAACGTGCAATAAAAATATGCAAAGATTCGCTTGGCACATCTTGAGACTTTTATAGCGAACTGGCTGGAGCACTGCAAAGTAGCGATCAACCGCGATTAGCATCAGGTTGTAAACACTGAGAAAAACAAAAAACCAATACACCATCTGACTTTCCCAGAGGTGACAACGAAGTACTTCGGCAAGATTGCTCCAGTAACCACTAGCTCCTATTACTTGTGTTATAGAGCTTTCTTCTACAGTGTACCAATCAAATTTTCTATCTGTATCAAGGCTTAT